TCTATTCTCGAGCTTCTGGACCCTTTTGGGTGAATTGGTAGAGTAAGCTGTGAGCTATAGAGCTCTTTTTATGAACTGAAGTGTTCATCGTGAGTTATATAGCTCTTTTTATGAATTGAAGTGTTCATCGTGAGCTATTGAACTCTTTTTATAAACTGAAGTATTCATCGTGAGCTATAGAGCTCTTTTTATGAATTAAAGTGTTCATCGTGAGCTATAGAACTCTTTTTATGAACTGAAGAGTTCATCATGAGCTATAGAGCTCTTTTTATGTGATGTAACCAAGATGAATTAAAAACATGCAGTTTTATTGAGAATGATCAAATTACAAAATTGACTCACTAAAAGAATTTTTGGAGATATTCTACGTTCCAAGAGTGGGACAAGATTTTTCCTTCCTCTGTCTACAGCTCATAGTTTTCGGCCTTGATAACCCTTGATATGATATAATGACCTTCCTAGTTTGGGCCTAGTTTTCCATGGGAAGGGCCCTTCCTCGCAAACAATAGCTTTCTAAGCACTAGATCCCCTACCTTGTAACTCTTGTGCTTTACTTTCTTGTTGTAGTACCTGACTGTCTTCCTCTGATAATATTTTATGCGCTGTAAAATCTCGTCTCTCTTCTCATCTAATAGATCGAGGTTGAGGAGTAACGCCTCATCATTATGCCTTGCGTCGCTAAACTCAATTCTGGGGGATGGGAGCCCTATCTCCACGGGAGCCACTGTTTTAGTTCCAAAAGCCAAAGCAAACAGAGTTTCCCGAGTGGCGGTCCTGGCTGTGGTTCTATAAGCCCATAACACCTCAGAGAGCTGCTCTACCCATTTTCCTTTCAGTTCTTCCAGTTTAGTTTTCAGGGCAGTCTTTATTGTTCGAATGGTGACCTCTGTCTGCCCGTTGGATTGGGGATGAGCTGGGGTCGAAAAGAAATTTTTTATCTCCAGCTCAGCACAAAACTTCTTGAACTTAGAATTATCAAACTGCTTTTCATTATCTGAAACAACTACCATTAGAATCCCAAATCTGCAGATTATCGACTTCCAGACAAAGTTTTGGACTTTTTGTTCTGTGATTGTTGTCAAAGGCTCTATCTCTGCCCATTTGGTGAAGTAGTCCACCCCAATAATGGCGAACTTGCATTGTCCAAACCCCGTAGGGAGGGGGCCAAGTATATCTAACCCCATTATTGAAAAGGCTAGGGGCTCACCACCGATGTTAGGAGTTTTAGTGGGCAGTGGGGAATATTGGCGTGTACTTGGCAAGCTTTACATCCCTTTACCAGATCTGCAGGATCTTTGAGTATAGTGGGCCAGTAGTACCCCTGCCTCAATGTTTTTCCTGTTAGGGCCCGAGCTCCGATGTGATTGTCGCAGACTTTTTCATGGATCTCTCTGAGTATGTAATTAGCATCTTCATCTCTCACACATTTGAGTAGAGGTGTCGAAAATCCCTGTTTGTATAGGTTTTCCTGCAAAATATAAAATATGGCTGACCTGACCCTTACTTTCGCAGCTTCTTTGGGATCTTCCGACAAAGTCTCATTTTAAAGATACCCTCTGATGGGGTCCATCCAACTCGGTGGTGCTTACACAGGCAGAACTTCTTCATCTTCAATGCATACAGATGGTTCTGCTAAATGCTCCACTCGAATTAACCTATCCAAATTCTCTTGCGAAACTGTTGCCAACCTTGCCGAGGCATCTGTTCTAGAATTTTTGGCTCTAAGAACGTGCTTAAACTTAACTTGCACAAACTTCTTGATTAATTCCTGTACCTTTCTGAGGTAGAGAACCATTTTCTCACCATTAGCCTCGTATGACTCCTCTATCTGTTTCATGACAAGCTGAGAATCGCTACTGATCTCCAGCTGCTTTGCGTCCATTGAATGAGTAAGGTTGAGCCCAGCAATGACAACTTCGTATTCTACTTCGTTGTTTGAAGCCTTAAATCCAAACCTGAGGATGTATTCTATGTCTATTCCATTTGGAGAGGTCAGGATAAATCCTACGCCGCTTCCTTGGGCATTGGCAGCTTTGTCTATCGAAAGTTTCCATACGAGAAGGTCAGGTATTAGCAGTGCGGCTTCCGCGGGTGTTACTGTGGTGAATTCTGTGATGAAATCTGCCAAAATTTACCCTTTGATTGTAGTTCTTGGCTTATACCTAATATCAAATTCGCTGATCTATTGGAACCTCGATAGTATGAGCCTGAAAATATGGTATAAGTCTCCTAACCGTGGTCACCAGGGCCAAAACTAGCTTTTCTATCTTTGGATATCTCTCCTCTGCCCCCTCAGAGCTCTGTTACAATAGTAAACTGGTTGCTGAGCTCTGTCTCTCTCCCTAACTAGTGTTGTGCTGGTTGAAAAATCTGAGACAACTAAATAAAGAGTAAACACTTCCCCTTCTAAGGGGCTTACCAGGACAGGAGGAGAGCTTAGGTACTCCCTCAGTGCTTTGAACGCTTCCTCACACTAGGTGTCCCACTGAAATGCCTTCTTCAAGACCTGAAAGAAAGGTTGGCACTTGTCACTTGATTTGGATACAAAACAACTCAAGGCGGCTATCCTTTCTGTCAGGCGTTGGATCTCCCTAATGTTGGACAGTGGTCACATATCCAGAATTGCCTTAACCTTTTCTGGGTTAGCCTTGATTCCTCTACTGTTGACTATGAATCCCAGAAACTTCCCTGCTGATACCCCAAAGGTGTACTTTGCAGGGTTGAGTTTCATCTTGTACTCCCTGAGGATTTGGAACGATTCTGCTAGGTGTTCGATGTGTAACTCTGCCTTCAGTGATTTTACCAACATGTCATCGATATAGACCTCCATGGATGTCCCAATTTGCTTCTGGAACATTCTATTCACTAGGTGCTGATAGGTGGCTCCAGCATTCTTCAATCCAAAAGGTCTGACCTGGTAGCAATAAGTTCCCTGTTCAGTTACAAATGATGTCTTCTCCTGATCTGCTGGGTCTATCCTGATCTGATTATTACCTGAGAAAGCATCCATGAAGTTGAGGAGCTCATGCCCAGCAGTGGCATCCATGATCAAGTTTATTCGAGGTAAGGGAAAGTTGTCCTTGTGGCATGCTCGATTGAGATCGGTGAAATCAATGCAAAGCTGTCATTTCCCATTGGTCTTCTTAACCGGCGCCACATTCACCAACCAGGTAGGATAGTCTGCCTTTCTGATGGCTTTGGCGTGGAAGAGTTTACTGACCTCCTCGTTAATTGCCTTCTGGCGTTCTGGAGCAAACCTTCTCCGCTTCTGTTTAACAGATTTGTAAATGGGATTCACGCTAAGCTTGTGTGGGATGACTAAGGGGTCAATGCCTTCCATGTCCTCTTGCTTCCAAGCGAACACCCTCATGTTCTTCCTTAGGAACTGGGTGAGTAGGTCTTTCATTTCTCTGCTTAACTTAGATCCCATGTAAATAATATGTTCAGACTTTTCATCGAGCTGGACTCGCTCTAGCTCTTCTAACGGCATGGGCCTAGTGTCTAGCTCGTTCCTCATGTCAAGCTCATCTAGCTGGATATTTTCAACCTCTTTCTACTTCACCAAGGCTATGTAGCACTCCCTAGCTATTCGCTGGTCTCCTCGGACCATTTCAACTTCATTTTCTGTAGAAAATTTTTACGACCAAGTGATATGCTGAGGGGATAGCCTTCATTGCGTTGAGGGATAGTCTCCCAAGTAGCATATTATATGCAGAAAAGGTGTCAACCACCAAGAATTTCACAGTGGTGGTGGCTTGGCAATGAGGGTCCCCCATAGTGAGCACGAGTTGGATGGATCCCAGGGGTAGCACCCTTTCCCCTGAGAATCTCATTAAGTGAGCACTTACTGGCTCAAGCTTCTGCCTTCCTGTGCTCATTTTGTCAAAGGCAGAGACAAAAATGATGTCGGTCGAGCTCCCATTGTCAATTAGAACTCGATGAACCATTTGGTTAGTCATAATAGCCCTTACCACCAACGGGTCATCATGGGGATGCTGGTAGCCTTCCAAGTCTGAATCCAAAAAAGTGATGGTTGTGCTCAGCCGAGGTATTTTGGACACGGTGTGCACTTTGAGCGCTTCGCCAGCTTTGATCCTGCGCAGGTGTGCTTTCCTGGCTACACTGGATTCTCCACTGCCAGCAAATCCTCTAGATATCACTCTGATCTCCCCTAAGGGTTGCTGGTGCTGTGCAGGAGCTTGTTGTTGAGGTGCCGGTGGTGGTGGAGCCCTATTCTGGTTGTCATGGACAACAAATCGTCGTAACTGCCCCCTTTGAATCAAGAACCCGTTCTCCTTCTTTAGCTAAATACAATCGTCAGTGTGATGGCCATGAACCCTATGATACTCGCAATACTTCGTAGGGTCTCTTTTAGCTGGATCTACCTTTATTCGTGGAGGCCACCTTAGGAATTTCTCGTTTTGCACCTCGTATAGAATCTGGGACACTGTTGCAGTGAGAGGGGTATATTGCTGAGGTGCATAACTTGGCTATAGTTCTGACTGCGAGGGTCCTAAGAGGTCTCTAACGTTCTCCTTTCTTTTTGGGGATCGCTCTTTATCTCTTTTGGGAGATCTATCTCTCTTTGGAGATTTGTTTCTTTTCCTCTCTTTCCTGGGACTTCAGTTCCTCTTTTTCTCTTCCTTTCCCTTATCTCTATGTGTGGAAGAACTCCCTACCTTAGAAAGAAGAGCTTCTTCGCCGTTTATATATTTCTCTACTTTGGCAAGCACCTCAGCCATGCTTGCTTGGGGATTTTTTTGATATGGAGAACATCAAATTTTTAGATTGCACCCCTAAACCAGCTATGAAGGAAGTGATGGCGAACTTTTCAACTGGGACATCCACCTTTAACGACTCTGAATTAAATCTTTGGACATAAGACCTGAGATTTTCTTGAGGTCCCTGTTTCACATTCAAAAGGTGATACAACATTCAAATTATACAACTCATTAGTTCCCAGCATAGTCTCAAATCTAATACAACATTTTCTCTTGTAGGGAACGGTTGTTCTTATATTTCAACCAGCTGAGGAACAAGGTGAAGGTGCAAAAGACATGATCCACCAAGGGGTGCTCGAAAATGTAGAGGCCATATTTTATTTGCACATAGTGCACAAATATCCTATTGGTACTGTGGCTGCTCGGCCAGGAGAGTTTCTAGCCGGGTGTGGGAGCTTCAAAGCAACAATCAGAGGGAAAGGGGGTCAGGCAATGATGCCACAACAGTCCATTAATCCCATACTAGCACTTTCTAGTTCTCACTTGGAATAAACGTAAGTGAAAAGGGATACTCAAATTAAGAGTAGAGCCCCGTATATATATCCAAAAATAATACAGAGTGACTTAAACATCTTTGTAGTTTAGGCAAAATATAAAAATCATAGTAAGGGTAAAAAAGGGAAAAGAAATCCTAATAAACTAGACTATCTATACTCCAACACTCCCCCTCAAGCTAGGCGCAAAAATGTCAACTAAGCCAAGCTTGACAACGGAGTCCCGAAGAATAGACAGAGTGACAGGTTTGGTAAAAACATCCGCAACTTGATCACTGGTCCCCACAAACGATGGAGTAACAAGACCACTGCTGACCTTCTCCCGAAGAAAGTGAACATCGATCTCTATATGCTTCGTTCTCTCATGTAGTACAGAGTCAGAAGCGAGCTAAATAGCAAATTGATTATGACAATATAATGTGGATGGAGAGGTCACTGAAAAATCCAACTCGTCAAGAATCGATCGTAGCCAGATAATCTCACACGTGCCAAGTGCCAATGCCCGATACTCTGCCTCTGCGAACGAGCGGGAAACAACTGCATGCTTCTTGCTCTTCCAAGAGATAAGATGAGTCCCTCGAAAAGCACAGAAACCCGTAGTAGATCGACCATCACATGCTCCCCCATAATCTGAATCTGAATAACAGGCTAGAGAACCGGTCTGAGATCCTGATGCATAAAACAACCCAAGTCCAGGACAAGACTTGAGGTACCGAAGAATATGATAAACTGCATCAAGATGAGGCTGACATGGCCTATGCATGAACTGACTAACTCGGCTGACTGCGAATGAAATGTCCGGCCTAGTATTGGCTAAGTAGATAAGTCTACCTACCAATCTTTGATAAACTGTCGGATCTTTCAACTCCTCACCTTCAGCAGTAAGCTTCAGGTTTGGAATCATAGGTGATGATGCCGGTTTGCACCCCAACATCCCAGTGTCTGAAAGAAGATCCAAAACATACTTTCTCTGAGAAAGAACAATACCTCTGCTTCTACGGGCAACCTCAATCCCAAGAAAGTATCGCAGAAATCCAAGATCCTTCACATCGAAGGCCTTCCCAAGGTCTATCTTGACCTGCGCAGTCCCAGAAACATCATCACCAGTAATAATAATATCATCAACATATACCAGAAGGATGACACACTGTCCAGAAGTATTCCGTCGAATAAAGCAGGTATGATCAGAATGACACCTGGTGAACCCCAATCGTATGACTACATCACTGAAGCGAGAGAACCAGGCTCGTGGCGACTGTTTCAGTCCATAAAGAGACTTACGCAGTCGACATACCTTTCCAGCATACTCCCCCTCACCACGAAAGTCCGGTGGTGCATCCATATAAATAATCTCGTCCAGATCACCGTGAAGAAACGCATTCTTCACATCTAATTGATGAAGAGGCCAAGAGTACTCCGCAGCCAGAGAAATAATTAACCGAACAGTAGTCAATTTTGCCACGGGGGCAAATGTAGCACCAAAATCACGACCTGGTACCTGAGTAAAGCCCTTCGCCACAAGTCTAGCCTTGTAACGATCAATAGTACCATCCGCAAGAAACTTCAGGGTGTAAACCCAGCGACAGCCAACAGGCTTCACCCCTGAAGGTAAGGAGACAAGATCCCATGTATGATTACGCTGAAGAGCGTCCATCTCTGTCTGCATGGCAAGAACCCACTGGGGCTCCCGCATAGCTTCCGAAATAGAGAAAGGAACCGGCGTATCTGATAAGGCCATAGTATTAGCTCGAAATGTGGGAGACAGATCACCATAAGAAACATAAGCAGAGATCGGATATAAAATCTTGGCGGTCCAACCATATCGATCAACTGGACGACGATCACGCCTTGGATAACGACGCCCTAAATCACCATCCTCTACTGATAATATCTTATCAGGTAAAGTAACTGGCTCAGCACCTGTAATCTCATCAGTACTAACAACAGGTGCATCAATATGCTCAACAAACTGAGAAGTATTACCTGCATCGCCTGAGGTAGAGGGAATATCAGCAGGGTGATGAGAGCGAGGACAACGAACATACACCTGCAAATGAAGAGAGACTGGTAACTCTGTACTGACACGGATGAGTGACTCCTTTGGAGGAAAAACGGATGACCCTGTAGGGATAGTGATCAATGACTCTGACTCTTGTGGTAATGGAAAATCAAAGGGAGTATCATCAACTGGAGGGGCAGACAAAGGACTGAAAGGAAAATAAGGAATATGCTCAAGAAAGGTAACATCTAGACTGTGATACATACGACGCCTAATAGGATCATAACATCGATACCCCTTAGATTGATGACAATAGCCCACAAAGATACAACGAATCGCTTTATCATCAAGTTTATGACGAGTAGGAGACCGATCCTGAACAGAACATGTGCATCCAAAAACACGAGGAAGGACCGAAAAAAGTGTCCGCTCAGGAAATAAGACCTGTAAGGGAGCCTTATGCTGAAGAACACGACTCGGCGTACGATTGCACAGAAAGGTAGAAGTCAAAACAGCAAAATGCCAATAAGATTTTGGTACCCTCATGCCTCTAAGCCGACAACGTACCATCCCTATCAAACTCCTATTTTTTCTTTCAGCAACACCATTTTGCTCAGGAGTATATGGACAAGTGAGTTGCTGAAGGATACCCTGAGAAGAAAGGTGAGACACTAAAGCATCAGACACATATTCTTTGGCATTATC